CTAATTGACAAGGGCAAGAGCAAACCATTATCTATAAATTTATTCCGGAATAAGGTGGAGGTCTCAAGGGGATTTACTGTGAAGTCGGATAATCGTGTCATTTCTTTCATACCTAGGGTATTTCTTTAATGTAGCACTATGCCGCAGCCCTGGCCCTGTCCTTCAATCGTGTATAAGCTCTCTGTCCATCCGGTAAGTCCCCGCTGAGGACCGCGATCGCTCTGAAGTGATGTCACTATAACACCGCCCGATATTCGCAGTTTTCTCAATGCTCCATTATTGGAGCCGCATACGCACGCATTAGATCCCCGCCGGCGTGCCAAGCGCACTGAATTACGACCGGTCATGTCTGAAACGGTCACGCGCACTCTGCAGTTCCGACATCCATCCGTATCGAACGGTGCAGACGACCGCCGAAACGACCCACCTCTGACCGACGCACCGAGTTTTTCCAAATATTTTTGCACGTGCCTCGAACACGAACCGGTTGCGTTAGGCTCATAATCCGAGCGAAGTGCACGCGTGACTTATGACCATTGCTGGTGGGGCAACATTAATCCGTGCCCCCGCGGCGCCGGGCCATGTGTATTTTGTGTAACATGCTCCCGAATCGGGTGGGGAGCGGTTTAGTGCCGTAAGGATAAGGCGGCAGGTGCTTGAGAAACAGCCAGTGATTTAGTCGACTCCATAGGTAGACTCCATGGGTCGTCGTGTCAGCTGGTTTGTGGTTCTTTTTTTAACCATTGTAATTTTCGCGAACAAAGAGTGTTAACATGAAATGACCGTCATCCATCAGCGTCTGATTGATGGCGTGAGAGCTATGGGAATGTCCTATGTTCATATGAACGAAGTGGTATCTTTTAGACAGTTTGGTCTGATAGTTCGACGACTACAATGTCTCATCGTATTAACATCTGCTGTCTTATCTGATAGAGCCTTTTTAGCTGCCCAATTTTCTCGCAGGAAGCACCCGTCTCCGGTCTCCCCCAAGTTTACAAGTAAGCAAAGGTCACAATGTTTTGCATAGTAAACGTTTGCAGAAAAGCATGCATGAGCCAGTGTCTGGCGACCCAAATCCTTGACCGAGGCAGCGAGCGTGGGTCAGGGGGCGGTGCGGGGCCGTCACTCACACTTGCCACACATGGAAAACGGCTTGGCAGCGCGGCTGAACCTGCCCATTTGCTGTCCCATTGTCCCCAGCGCGCTTCTGGCTCCAGGGAGAGATAAGTACCACGACATATAGTCTGGTGACATTGGTTAGGTACGCAGGTAGTGAGTGCAATGCACATTTCCAAACACCTTTCTAAATATTAAAATCTAAATCTTTTGATAGAGTCGGTGTAACAACCCAAACCACAGGTGTTTGGAGTGCCGTCCCTTAATTGACCATCTCCATAGTCATAACACGCCGAATACCTCTGTTTAATCAGTCGATTAAAATGCACCTCCCTCGGCACCAGCCTGTCAATCTACCCACTCGCGTCCTACCGATCTAACGGTCTAATCCAAGTTCAAGACCAGCGACTTATGTCTTCACCGGCATCCTTGCCCATCCCTCGCCAGTCGCTGCCACCGCCTGTTATTCAACATCTGCAACTGTGTGGGATGATCCCCTCGGAGAGCACGGTGAGCCCGTCACGCCTTACCCGACCGGGCAGGGCCAGGTTTGTCCGTCCCGCTACACCGTCAAGTTGCTGTTCTCGGCGTACGGATTACGAGAGCTGACGGACAGACTCAGACTGAGTTATAAACGGACACCGGGGCAGGCTGACAGCTCAGTCTGACAGCGCACGCGAATAACATCATCAGATAGTCACGATTTGGGAGGAATGGGAGATGCAGACGGATTCTGTCTCGCCACCGGCCACCAGAAGTCTGTGTTTGTCTGATTGTCTGTCTGTCTGTCTGTCTGTCTGTCTGTCTGTCTGCCTGTTTGCCCGTCAGCCAGTCAGTCTGTCTCCGTTTTCCTGGGCGCGGCGGCAGTTTGCCTAATGACCGCTGATTATGACCGTCAGTGGTGACCTGTGCCCTGTCGCACGCGCGCCGCTATTGTCACAATGGCGCATTGTGCGCCCCGCCCGACCGTGGAGCTACCCTGACAGCGGTCCTGAGTTAGCTGTTTGCGAAACTGGTGACGGTGGCTGGTCTTGACCTCCAGCGACCGACGCTGGCACTGAGCTGAGACTTCGCGGCCGCCGACGGCAGGCGAGGGCCCCTCAGAATTCGAGGGACGGATTGAGCACAAATAAACGGTGGACATGATCATGGTTCATATGCTAGGAGTGTTACAGAAATAGCGTGCAGAATGTTCAATCGCTCATTTTGAAAAAAGGCGGTTTTATGTATTTTGCAAGCCCTATCTTGATGCAGCTGAGGCGCGTTTTCCATTGTTTTCCCAAAGCATGATCCATTCTGCATTGCTATTGCAGTTCACACGGCTCCTCTAGATCACTCCGAGCGCAATTCTACAGCACTGACTGAACTTACATCATAAATTATATTATATCCACAGTCTAACCGCTTGACTGCCTGAGCTGGCACACACGATGAGAGGTAAAAACTGAGGTCACAACTTTATGGTCATCGGGCTCGCGCCATGCAGTCGGACACACAGAGACGCGAGTCGAGTGCCTTTAGTGACTGAGGCTCTCACGTGACCGATGTTTTGCCGTCTATCTCCACACAGGGCTTGTTTTGTGCTATTTGGTTGAGGCACGTACGAGTGTGACGACAAAACCATCGTATCGCTTATTGCGATCATTCTTCATAACTGAAGCCCGCGCATGTTGATGGAAGTCAAATTTGACAGGTCGCACATTCCATACATAGCTTGATGTTAGCGCTCCGAGTCTTGTAAAATGATGGATGATGTACATATGTGGTGTTGATTCTACTGGGTTATCCAATGCCGTGGTCATGACGTTCAAGTCTTGAAAATTGGAAAAAGGATTATTGACACTTTATGTAGGCTTATGAAGCATAATGCCAATTTCAATAAATCCATTGATGTAATAATCTAATCTAATGCTTTTATCTAACCATTGCTAAGCACCTTTCCACCCCTGCTGCCTGATGCCACCTAACTCCAGGGGCATGGTGACGATGTGCCAAAGGTTTAACGTCATCCTATCGGGTTAATGGCATCGATAAACCCTCCACGTCATTGACACAAGCCCCTTTGTTAAATCCCAATAGGAATGTTAATGTGATGAATGATCATGATGCATCACAATTTGTTTTCGATTCTTCAAATCAATTAGGATATCAATTGATAGTACTCTCGTTAGTTTTTTTTTTCTATAGCTGACCTTCGCTCATAGTCTCGTGTCCCGACTGCCGCCGCTGTAGTCGCCTCCTGCCCACAGTGACCTGTATCCACAGTCCCCTGTCCACAGACCCATCTCCACAGTCCTTATATCCACAGTTCTCATATCCACAATACCCTGTCCACAGTCCACGTGTCCATTGTCCCGCATCCACAGTTCCGTGTCTACAGTGCCCGTATCCACAGTCTCGTATCCACAGTCCCATGTCCACTGTCTCACGCCCACAGTCCACAATCCTGTGTCCATAGTCCACAGTCCTGTGACCAGTCCTGTGTCCATAGTCCACAGTCCTGTGACCAGTCCTGTGTCCATAGTCCACAGTCCTGTGACCAGTCCTGTGTCCAATAGGCTGGTATCCACAGTCCCATGTCCACAGTCCCGTATCCATCTCCATTCCCCCCTGACCACAATGCCTTTCCATATTTTCCTGTCCACAGCCTCCTGTCCACAGTCGTCAGTCTTCCACCCGGTGCATTGGGTCTCGCTGGCGGCCGCGCGGTCCTTGGCTCTGTTGACCGAGCCACCGCGGCCCGCTGACCGGGGGCCACCGCGGCCCGGCCCGCTGACCCACCGACCGTGATGGGCCGGCGACGTTTGATGAGCTCCCGACCTTGGGGCGGGGGAGGGGGTGGGTCGCCTTTCTACCTCATCCTCCGGTGGTATTAGTCATCATTTACCGGAATGATGTTCCCATGCAGATGAGGTGTCGGACTGTCGGTACATTCATACAATCTTGTCGAATGTTATTGGTCGGACCTTAAAGCATTGGAAAAGGGTTATATAGGTGAGAAACTGGTAAACACAACTTCAGGAGATCTACCAAGGTTGGCAGAAGTTTTATCAACTTAGAAAAAGTGTTTCATCAAAGTGCGGTTCATTGATCATTTTTATAGAAAATTGTAGCGTTATATATCAAAAATAATACCTATCGATAATTCATATTACTAATTCTATTTATACATTGCTATTTCACCAATTCCTAACGATTAAATTCTTCTGTCAATTGATATATGGGAACCTATTCAAGGCGTGAAAACACCTATCTGCATTTAATTGATCACGACATCCATTCTGAATTTCAAGAAACCGTTTTATCACGAGCTACCAAAAATCTGATACGATCTTCGAAGCAGATGCTCCTCAAACGTTAGAACAAGATTACGACCACGCTGTCTGGCGGTCAGAAAACAATACCGCACACATTTCCCACAGGTGGTGGAATTTACGGGACTGAGTAACGGCGAAGGATACATTTTTCTTGGTGCTATTGCTGCCGGTTGTAAAGCATGCGTTTGCAGCGCATTTGTCAGCTATTACGACGGACGTCAGATAAACTTAGCACACCAATCGAATGGTTGTAACATCTGTGTAAATATGTGCGTAAGCGAATGCAAGAATGATAAGCCTTTACAAATGTGTAGGTTTCTCCAAAGACGGAAAAATACATTTTTCAAATACCTTTCTATCCCCATTTATCCAACATCTTCACTCAACAATACCTAGTCGTTGATCTAAGTCATAAAATGACAAACAGGATACATGCGAAGCTTATATTTTATAACAATCTGTATTTCGCACTGCCCCGCTAGCTGCCTGTCCCTCCCCAATGCCGCCGGTTTCTGGTCGGTGATCACACGTCATCTCTGACCTCTGACCTGAGCTCCTCTGTTCCAGGTGAAACGTCAGCTGAGCAGTCAAGGTGAGTGTTGACCCGGTCTGCCAGCCCCTCTGAGTGGCCGGGATGGGTGTGTCTCGGCTCCAATTCGTCCATCCTTGACGACAGTCGCGGGAGGAGATGTGAGAGTGACAGAGGACGCGGGATGACACCGCGGGGCTCCTGGCGACCGACACGGCGGGGAGATGGCTGGATGAGTGGGCGGGGATGTCGTCACCGCCCCCGGCGAGAGGCAGATTCCCATGGCTCCGGGTCTCGGCAGCTCGGGCAGTTATTCGGAACGAGCGCCAGACAGACAGAAGAGTTTTCGTAAGGATCCTCCAGACGCAGGCCCAGTTTTCATTTCGCAATCGGTGTACAAGTGGCGAGTTCCTTTTCGCCAGAGTCAGTCGTGGTCTGCTTAGGGAACGTCTTTTCGATGGAAAGCGGCCAGAAAAAATCTATACGCCGAAACATAAATACAGATAAGTTACAAGAAAACAGAAGTCAAGGCCGAACTACTTCTAAAGAGCGTACTTCAGAATCTCCATACGTCGACGATGTGAATGTAACTCGGCTCGACAGTGGACGTGACAAAATATATTAATGAAAAGGGTTGGTATTTTAGAAAACTCTTTGCTTGGGTGTTTTGTCAGGATTTCATTGAAGCCTGACCGCGATTGTGATATTCGGACTATTTGATTAAAATATGTATTCAACCGTCAATCAATATTGCCAAGTAATAGAAGATTGCACAAGGCCCACGAAGGTATGGATTAAACGCATTGCCAACTCTAAACTGGAGTGGCTTGAATTTATAGCCCTATCAAGTATCAGGAGAAAAGGATGCTACGCCTTTTAGCTCCTAACAGCATAATGTAGGCATATCATTAGGGATTATGCATTTCACAATGGCAATGATTAAGTATGTTTGCTCTTAGTTGCCTCTTTAGTTCCTTCTCTTAGGGATGCTGAAGCCTGAATCCAAATCAGTTATACGTAGGGGTTTGCCAGGCCTGCAATTTTACTAGCTGTTGAAAAAAATTAAAGAGAAATCCCATGAGACGACTACCAAGAGCTGTGGCTAAGTGTGAAATGTGGATGTATAGGGAAAATGAGGTGAACCATCAAGACCCAACGATCGGCGACAGTCCAGTCGTGACAGGAACAGCCAACCTTGACCTGTCCCTCCCGATTACGTAGTCGTTTCTGATCAGTTCATCTTGGTCCAGCTGAGGTGTAAGTGTCGGTCGCTAGAAATGCATTAACATAGACGAAACCATGCTCCCCAGACAGCCTAGAGAAGTTTCGACACTACCGTTTTTCATGCGCCGTGGATTACTTTCGATCGCATAAGCTCCGTGGCCGGTCGCCCTGTAATTCATTATATTATTTAAGTGAGGCTTAGAATGGGTGCAAAATTAGAGACAAATCTAGAATATAAAATTGTACTTCATGTTACCATTGCTTTCCTATATGAAACTCCCATTCCATCAGAGCCGACGAGATGCGTGTATAATTGGAGTAACGTTTGCCTTCTTACATGGTCATGATGTTAAACAACGCTTGTCGCTTAATTGCTACCTTAATTGCTAATGGTAGAAGCCTCTGCCTCAGGCCTGGATGAACTCCATGATTCGTTGAATAAATTCGACTCGTTACTTCGGGTGCGCCTGCATGCAAACATATGATGAATAACCCTTGAAGGTCAGCCTATAGAGCCCTTTTGAAGCCCTCTACTGCACTTTTTGAGACAGACGACTAACTTAATGACTTCCAGTGAGTAATCTTCGGCATAAACACGGCATCAGAATTTGTCTCCGGTAATAATTCCGCCGGCAATATTCCATTCTTCTTTTTCATCGCTTCCCGCCGCAAGCTTGGCCGCAAGTGCTGACAAACATGCAATGACGTAAAGGAATGGCATTACCTACATTTCGAGAGGACGGCTCCTCTAACGGCGCTGCACCTCTGAACATTCTCGTCTTTCTTTCACGTCACAAGTGCCACTTCTCGGTCCTGTCAGTTGTCAAGTAAACACTCGGGTAGAGTGGACAATCAGAGTGATTGGGGGTCGATTTATGCTCATCCATGGTCACGATTGTGGCGTAGGTGTTAAATTGTTCACATACAAACAAAGGCATTTAGCCCGTCGTTCGGCTTCAATATAACTGCTATGGCTGGCATGGTCAAGCTTTGTGGTAATAAGAGACCTTTAAACGGTTACGTTCGGAATAGTATTAGTGTTACGGGCGGCTGTGGCCGCCCGTTGTGGCACGCCTGGCGCCGCCCGTGGCGCCTCCCCGGCTGGCCGCGCCCGGCGCCGCCCCTGCCGCGTGGCCCTGGGGCGGGGTCGGCGGCTGGCCCTGGCTGGGCGGGCGGCGGCCCGGGAGACGGGATCGGAGGGACGTGTGGAGCGGTACGCGCTTGTGCTCCCTAAACTGCAAATAGAGTGACGTTCGGATCCGGTGTTAGTCGCTTCCAGCGCTGACCCACCTCGACCGATGTGTCTTCTCGATCCGGTTTTGCGGCAGAACAGGAGCGTGACCGGTCTATTATGTGACTAGGTCAGGATGTGTGTCAAAGGTTTCAGGCGGGAAATCAAATTTGGTCCCTCCTGATCGAAACCGAAAGTAGTGGAAGACCCTGTTACATCAAGTAGGGTGGGTGGGCAGATATTGACTTGTGCTGCTAAGAAGTGCTCGTGAACCAAAAGGTGATTGTATTTTTAAGTTTCAGATGGACCCTACGCGGCTGGAGCTAGACAGCCTCTGGACGGCTGTTGCCGAGGAAAGGGCCGAGCGCGAGCGACTGGAGGAACAGCTTCAGGGTCTCCTCAGAGGGCTCTCGGGAGGTGGTATGCCTTCCGCGGACGCCGGGCTGCCGCTGATCGTGCAGCAGGACGCGGAGCTGACTGAGGTGGTGACGGAGATGCCGTCCTCCGCACTGTGGTCGTCGCCGGCGCCGTCGGACTCGGACCTGGTGGAGGTGGTGGTGGAGGTCCCACCCGCGGATGGTGGTGCCGCGGGTGAAGCCATGTGGGGGACGCAGCCAGATGGAGAATCGTTCCCGTCTCCTGACAGGAGACGCCCGGGAGACGGCGAGGAGGGCGGCGGACGACCACCCGTATCTCCGACCGCCGCCATCCTGGCGGAGGTTTCAGTCGCGGTCGACGGTGCCGACATATTGGGCGAAATTCTGGGCGAGCCGGTATCTCCGGCCGCCGCCATCCTGGCGGGGGCTTCAGTCGGGGTCGACGGTGCCGACATATTGGGCGAGATTCTGGGCGACCCGATCGACACGGACTTTGGCTTGGGGGACATCGCTGAGGGGTCCGGCGGTTCGCCGGAGGCTGGTCCGCCGGGGTCCGCCGTGCTCTTAATAGGAGATTCTATGCTGAGCGGGGCGGACTTCCGGTGTGACCCCCCTCGGCGCCTGTCCGTGTGCGCGGTCCCCGGGCTGACTCTGAGCCGCTGGCTGCGGTCAAGCGCGACCGAAGTAAGGGCGTGGGTCTGTGGGAAAGGGGAGCTGACGGACCTCCAAGTCATCTTATGGCTGGGCGGTAATGACGTTTACCCAAGGGGGGCCGCCTTCGACCCGGTCACGGTGGTGGCGACGCTGGGGCGGCTGAAGGAGACCATCATCGACACCCGTAGCCTTGGTTGCGCCGTGACCATCCTCGGCGTGACGCCGCGGCCGGCCCGCGACGGTGGCAGAGTGTGGGAGTCCACCCCGGCCTTCTGGCTCGAACGGGCGCTGTGCGAACTGTGCCGCGAGACCGACTCCACTTTCGTCGCGCTCGGCCGACGCCTCTGCCGGCGGGAGGGGAGGAAACGGCGCTTTAAGATGGACGGCAGGTTCTTCTCGGCTGACGGGGTCCACCTCAGCGCCGCCGGCTACCGGCGACTGATGGACTACCTGCCGGGGTGGCTCAGGCGCGGCCGACGCTAGGCGGCATGTGTGAGGGCGCTCGGGACGGTGTGTATGAATGTATGATTCGAAGTTGTCGTTTTTGTTGTTGTTGTGTTTTGTTGAGGCTGTTTTTGGTGTGGTTGTCATGCGGGGGGTCACTCGTGCTCGTGGGATGACTCGTGCTCATGTGGGGGAGGGGTGTTACGGGCGGCTGTGGCCGCCCGTTGTGGCACGCCTGGCGCCGCCCGTGGCGCCTCCCCGGCTGGCCGCGCCCGGCGCCGCCCCTGCCGCGTGGCCCTGGGGCGGGGTCGGCGGCTGGCCCTGGCTGGGCGGGCGGCGGCCCGGGAGACGGGATCGGAGGGACGTGTGGAGCGGTACGCGCTTGTGCTCCCTAAACTGCAAATAGAGTGACGTTCGGATCCGGTGTGTTCAGCTCCCGCAACATTAGTCTCTCAGGCAGACCGCAAGCCATAAACAGCAAACGATCAGTGTTCGAACAAAACACTGCATCGGACCAAAACGATGACAAGACCATTCACCAAGGACTTCCTGATTTGTTTACACAGTGGCGATGTATCTTCAAGTGCGAAGAGGCTGCGCATTCCAGGCCTAATTGGCGTGAGCAGCGATTTTATCGCCGTAATAGCCGTTCATCTCTCGTCATCGGAGGGGCCGGCGCCTGATAAAAACACCTCCCCATTTGGCTGTTTTCCGGTGGGTGGCGGACAGGGCTCGAGCGGGAGGGGGGATGCCTGCGGCACCGTTAGCACGCTCTTTGTGGGTCAGAGGTCGAGGGCACAGGTCATGGGTCAGAGCCTCGACAATGGTGTCCCTCTGCTGCTTACCTCTGCGCAGTCACTTAATTATTAGCGGTTGACAAAACATCGACTTTATTGGGATGACCTCTCGTATTTGCCATCCATTCAATACTCCAACGGCAACAGCACACCATAGACTTGTTTATCTTCCTTTCATTGTTTCTACTTTCTGGCAAAACATTAGTTGTAAAAACAATTCAACTGCAACGACACCAACGGCAACTGACCTCACTTCTTGAGGTCAGTTATTCAGCTAGTCAATTTAGACAGCTGACCTGTTCCTGTGATTGCTGACTCTATAACCACCAGTCACCACTCGCCGGCCTGACCGTCTCCCTCTGTGACCTCAGAGCCGCTGGTGACCTACCAGTCGGTGCCGAAGACGTCATTCTCCTGTGACCTGGTCGGCCCGGGATACTACGCCGATATGGAGACGCAATGTCAGGTGAGTGAGGCGAGCTGTTTGTAGACAAGATCGAGATCAAAGCACGGATATTTCCGCGGGGAATATTATTTGTCATCATAAATCAACAGCAACAGGTCTCGCTCGCTCCCTCTCCGCTTCTCCCTCGCTCTGTTTCTTCTTCCATGCCTCGGTTCTCTTTCTTCCTCCGCTGCTCTCCCCCTCTCTCTCTTTCTCTCTCTGACTGTCTCGGCGGCTGCATCCCAATGACTGTATTGGCAGCCTCTCTCAGCAGGAGTTCGCTAAACAGCCCGGCGACCGTGACACCGACCAAGATATTAGCTGTTAGCTCGGTCGCAGACTCTCTGACCGGCCTTCCAACGGACCTGTACTTGTATGCCCACGGCGCGATTTGAGTGTTATTGGACCGTTAATGCGCGTATAAATGTCGTGTTGTGATTACCCCCTTGCAGTTTCTCCGCTGAACGGCATGCTGAGCAGTGAATGGCACGCTTCAGATGCGATGTCATTGTAAGTAGGAGATTGGTTTTACCCTGAGTTCGGAAGTGACCGATGACGATGAGCAGCGGTTGATCGTTGAAACAGAAGTATAACAAGTGTCGGTGTGTTTCAGATTTTCCACGTCTGCCAGGGCAGCCGGAAGGACTCATTCATCTGTCCTGGCGGAACGGCCTTCAACCAAAGGGTGGGTAAACTTATCATTTTGGGTAGGATCGTTTTTGTTTTTGTTTTTTGTTTTGTTGGGTTAGGCCCTTTCGGTCCAATGAGACCATTTCAGAGCCGGGAGGATGATATGATATAGGGGGAGACATTGGTCTGGGCAGGCACCCTAGTGAGTCGCCGGGGCTGAGCCCGTCCAGAGGACAGGCCACCCAGCCCCAAGGCACTCACTGCACCCGGCTACGGGGTGCGCTCCCTCGGGAGCAGCGGTGCCGCTCCAAGGGAGCAGCCCGCATGAGATAAAGTTGCCTGTCCAGCCCGGAGGGGGGTTGCGGCGTGGAGGATAAGGATTTCAGTATCCTGAGGATAGAAGCACGGAACGGTGGGTAGGATCCCACTCAACTATATTTTAAGAGAAGAATGAAACGAACACTTGTATTATAAACGCTATTAGCTCCAGAAGAGTTGAGTGCCGTGTACAAGTTATGAAGGATCGCCGCAAATCGCCATTCGCACCATTTTGACCACGAATTGGACTGATGTTGTCAAATCCCCGTTGTCTGTGTTCAGGTATTTGTCTGCGACTGGAGCACCAACGTCGACTGTCCGTCCTCTCGGGACTTCTACTCGCTCAACAGTCGGATCGGCAGCGACGAGCCGTTCCACACGGACGTCTTCGTCGGCGGCCGGCTAGGTGGCAGCACCAACCGCCGGCCAGGTGGCAGCACCGACCGCCTGGCCCGTATCAGCTCAATACCGGACGGTCAGCTCGGCAGTCAGTCACAGGCCCGACTGAAGGCCGTCAAGCCTGATGGTGCCAAACAGAAGTTTGATACTACTTCGAATATCCGAGTAGGAAACACGCTCCTCCTGAACACTCTCTTCGTGGAGGTGCCAAGATTTGTTGCGAAGGAGACGGAGCCAAGCGAACGACCGGCGACTGAAGACAGACCTTCGGTGGAGCCTGCCGTAAAACCACCTGCCTTCACCAGCAGTCGTCAGGACGTTCTCTCGAAGAGGAGAGAGGGCGATAAGAGAAAGAACCAAGCATACGGATCCCGGCTTAGAGAGGAAGGCTATTTGCCCGAGTCAAAGCAGCAGTCTAACAAGGATGAGGGGAAAGGACGAAGGGTGTCTCTAGAGGGATCCGGAGAGAATCCTTCAGAGAAGGATGCATATCTTCCCACAGATGCGTCCGATGCTGCTCCTCCTGCCGACAGAGGTAGCTATCTGCCGGAGCCAACGCTGGAGGATAGTCCTCCGTCCTCAGCGAGAAAGAGCTACCTCCCAGAGGAGGAACCGGACAGCTCCAACTATCTCTCCGAGGAGCCACCTCAGTCCACCGCCGACACCTCCTTCCTCCAGCCTCCTCTGTCATCACCAGAGCTCCCAAACAGCATCCTGGGCGCGTTCTCCCTGCCGGAAATAGACGAGTACGGTCCGGAGCCGCCCACCACGGCGCCGCCGCGCCTGCCGCCGATGAACCTGCTGCCCCTCTCTGACGAGCCGCCTCCGCCGACCACCGAGAGCCGCCTGCCCTCCACCACAGAGAGCTACGGCGTGCTGGACGAGGGGGAGGACAGGGAGAGCTCTGCGCCTCCGGCCAATCGCAGGGAGCTCGGCCTGACGCGAAGGCTGAACATCGGAGAGAACATAAATGAGATAGAGGTAGAAAGAAAACCGAACCAAAGGCCATCTGAGGAGCCAACAACATCAGAAACCGACAGATTCCAGTATAACTTCGACAGTGTGCGAAACACACTGCAAGATCGGTTGAAAAACGTCGAGCCATTTGACGTTCCTGCTGATACACTAGCGACATCTGATAGAGCGACAGTGGCTACCCAGAGAGGGTCGTCAGGGGGGAGCGTGGCACTGCTGGCGCCGTGGCTATTTTCACTCGCCGAAGTCCCCATGTAGATACCGGGTAGTGGTGTGAATACTCCGTCGCACACGCTGGGTCAATGTTCAGAGGACGCGACAGAAAGGGGCATGCAGTTACGGGACGTGTAAAAGTATGTGATATCTTGCAGTTGCGACACTACCCATGTAAGTCGCAAGCAGCCAACGCCCGGAGTATTGTAGGCGGAGGGTAGGCCAACTTGCGTGTTTTGTACCCATAAGCATCGCCACGGAACCCCACAATCGCGATCAAATCGCGACCGAGAAACTAGCGAGTGAACTCTATAAAATAGTCATGTCCACTCATTCCACAGGGTCATTGAACGCAAACATCGAATCACCGCCTACTGATCAAACACCATTCACGCCTGCATAGGGTACCCCGTGCTCCATCCACCCCTCACATGGTCCCACAGCGTCCCCGCCCACCAGTACCGCGTGTAAGACGACCTGTACTGCCTGTGCCAATGACCAGCTGCGAGTAAAGACAGCGCAGTGCTGCGATGAAGTGCACCCACTGTGCATCGGCCAGAGCGCACCATTGTCGCGCCGCGGTGCACTCTGCCGTGTGCGCACTACACTGTGATTCATTAATAAATACATGCTTTGTAGACGTTTTTGTTATGTTTGCGTTTCTACGATTTTATGTTCAAGTATCGCTAATTTAAGTTAGAGGTGAAGGAACGTCTGGCTGGATAGGTACTGCAAATATAACAGACACAACTTCACGTTTCTAAGAACATCACTCACCTTTGAGCTCATTTACATTCAGTGGTATATATTTACTGAAGTCATATTCACGTACATATATCTGTTCCTAAATCTTCAATACTCGCAGCTAACAAGTCATTCAGTGTATCATTATTAGCGTGTCGTGCCAAAAATCGCCTCCAATTCTTGCATCTACATCATTCCACATAAGACATCAACCGGAGACCACACGCCACAGAATCTATAGCACACACTATTTACATATATCGACATCAGCCAACGGCAGCTCAAATTTACTAAATAAGTGTCCTGGAATGATGCGAACGACACAATCGGCGATCAGCGCACTCTCTCTCCCACACACACACGCGGACACCAGCGAGGGAGGGCTGACGAGAGTGCCATCGGTACGTGTCCAATGCACGCTCCATATCGACCACTTATCTGAAATCCTCGGCGCTGAACATACCCTGCGAACGAAAGTAACGGAACACCTTGTCAGAGCAGGTCCTGAGCGTGAGAACGAACGAGCGACTCGACAACTGCACATGGGGTAGATATTGATATGGCTCTTCGGTGTGAATTGTAATACAAATAAGCCAATGGGTTACCAAGAAACTGCTGTGAAAATAGGACGGAAATATGAAATAGCAGCCTCCCAAGTTTGATATCACACCTCAAAATATTACCGTTAGTGTTAAACATACATAATTATATTGGAGTTAAATATTACAATAAACAAACGTATCTATCCCAGGCGGAGAGTGTCTGGCGCGGCCTTTACCCCACCGCAGCCCAGCGGGCGACTGTCCGGGTCACTGACCTTAGCCCGTCGCAGAATCGAGTCCTTGGTCGGGTCGTACGGCGAGTCCTTCGAGGGAATCTCCAGCACCGCCGGCAGCGCGCTGCTGTGACCGTCGATCACGTGACGGATCTGCTCGGCAATCTGCGGGGTCACGTGACACAGCGAACGAGTCAGGTAAAGCACGGAGCAACAACGGTGGAGAAAGGCGACAGCTCCAGCACCTCATCCTCGGTCATTGGAACTAGTTGTGGGTCATCGCCACTGATGAGAAGGGCCTACTGCACTATCGATGCGCCGCAACGTATGCAGGATAAAAGGACGCAGCGTTGAAATTTTAACGCTTTTCAAGCACACTCCTAATTACAATAAAAACACACACACATCTCCAAGGAACAAGTTCGTGAGCGAGGAGAGCGTCCGTCCGCACTTACAATCTGGTTGATCAGAATAATGTCGATGTCGTCACGGGTGACAAACTTCTTGAATGCATCCTCTATCTCGTTGAGGGGAGTTTCTGAAAAAAACGGCCCACATTGAATTGAAGGGCACTGGGCAACAGACTACATCTAATAACCTAAACTTATATACTTGGTGTTGATAAACGTAATAAGAATTACAAAATAATGTTAACAGATGCATAGGTATATCAACCACCACGCCTAGCATCTGTTCAATAAATGTCTTGGTCTTCGTTCCTTGGCATACTTGTGTAAAGGTGAAAATGTGATCTTTAGACTTTGACTCACCTTTGTTGACTACCATAAAATTTGGTTTTCTTGACTTGTTCATTTCTCCAATGCCACCAAGAAGAAAACCAACGCAGGTATCCTGAGAACACAAACATGTCGTTACATATAAGGTTCTTGCACCATGCAGTATCAGTGTACCATTTTTCAGACTTTTTGGTGGCAACTCACACCTGATGGGGAAAATATTTTCATCCCTAAAATATGAATGACTGACTTTACTTCATCTCTGAAAAAGGTTTCATGTATTCGAACAGCCAGTTTACATGTCACTTGACAGTTGATGGACCCACATCCTTTTGTTTCACACCCTGTCAAGATCCTGACATGAAATCCTGGTTTATCAGTGGACATAAAAATTAGCATTACCTACAACATTTTTTCAAAAATAGTTCAGTTATTTACTTTCTTTTTTCTCATCGTAGGATTTTTTTTCATCAGCACACCCAACCGAAATCCAATTTTAGAACACTGTGCAGTATGCACTACCATATATGGGGTCCTGGTAAACCATCATAACTACCGCGATGCTTCCATAATCGCGATGAAAACGCAGCTGAAAGAAGCCGTTTCCAGGCACCCACTTCCAAAATAAGTAGCCACTTATCAACCAAGCCAACCTTTGACATCCAGTCTCCCGATTCAAGCCAGAATGGTGCGATGGATTCAAGCCAGAATTGCGCGATCGGACAGTAGGGGTCGGGGAAAATTCAATATTCCAGCTGGCAACTTTCGGGAGAAAGTCGCGGTGCACCCGGGAAGACCATGCCCGCATCTACTTGAGCGTTGCAATGTTATCAAAACTGGACTTTGTCCCATGGACTGAAAGAAGGCAAGGTCGGGTGGTAGGTACACGGTGTCATCAGCAATGCATTACCTACCGGTACTATCCGACCCTTCCACACATCAGCTTGGACCATATTTCGATTAGTAAAAAATGAGCCAGCTGGAGACTTTAGTAAACTGTGTGGTTAATGCAAGGTCATGCTCGAGTCAACACAGAAAAAGCGAGAGCATGGTGTGGGCCCACTCCCTGACTGCTGAGCAAGTATACCCCCCCCTCTGTTCTAACTGCTCAATGCTCATGCACTTCCTATAGTTGTCAGGGGTGACTTGGGAGCAAAAGTCCCTTCTGCCTGTTGTAGGAAACCTAGAAGGTAGTTAGGTACACATGGATAAGTGAGTTGCTTCCAAATTTATGTAGGTAATCTACCACAGCCCACCAATCACCATAGTCATTTCCTAATTTGCTTAGGAACATTTTTTGCATTCTTTGGAGTAAGACTGACCATGAAGTTACCATACCAACTAATTAGTATTTCTAGCAGGGACTAATCAGCATATGTACAATATGTAGATCACAACATGAGACAAACATTCAAATTCAAATGGCATGGTGTGGGCTTATACAAACTTTCTCTTGGCTTATAAAAAACTTATCACCCACCTCATCGCCAATAACTGCCATCAGCTTTCCTTTAACAGCTGCAATAGCCATGATTGCTTCTAGTTTGTCTTTTCAGCTGAAAATAAATCATTGAGTTAAGTAATTTCAATACAATAGCACAATCCTGGTCTTAAGGTTCAGAATCAGCAAAAAAGTAAGGCATTGGGATTTGGGAATGTAATTTTTATGTATTCAAAATCAAACACTCATTGTATTGCATGCTTCTCAACTATTGGCAGGTAGGTAGCTAAGTAAAACAAGGTAAAGTAATTTGCTTGAAAATTAATATAGGCAATCCACAAAAATCCACCAATTAGGTACCTACCATAACTGATGGGCAACAAAAATGGCTCAATGGATTTGATAGGTACCTAGGCTATAAAAATTAGGGACAATCAACACATAATAAGCTTAAGGTGAGCACAACCTAACACAGTTTTTCTAAATAAGTTTTGCCTGAATGGAAGATTCGGTGGTTTTTGGAATTTGGGCCCAACTCAAATTCAACTTTCAAATTCAACCATTACACGATAAGGTGCCTCAACAAGTGGAGCTCATTGCGATTGACACTGACACCACGGAACCACGTCCACCGTCCACCACCAGACCTTGTCAGCACCTGGTTCACCATTTCTAATGTTAATTTCAGTTAAACATATCACAGATAAATGATGAAACTGTTCTCCCAGGTCTAGCATAGCCCTTTCTTGTCAGCTGCCAATTGAAGTCTTGAAGTCTTGAATATATGGAAAAAGGCTGAACAAAGATGCGAGTCATAGGTAGGACTGGAGCTCCCTGACCGCAAACTTGTCAAAAGTTTCAATTCAGACTCCTTATCCACTAAGCCAAACTAGGCCACAGAGAACAAATTTTGTACATTTCTATTCAATGGCTCAGTACAAATTAATGCTATTCTTTTTCTTTTTTTTGTAACTAGTCAGGTCATAAAAGGATTTAAGTTAGCGGCATGCTGACGTATGTAAATTTACTAGAGACCAGGTAGGTACCTACGTTTGTCAGTATGATACATCAATGGCTGCAGTTTAATATTCAGAAGCAAAAGTTTTTTTTTTATAATATAAATGAGGAACAAAATTACAAGGGAACGAGCAAACGAACCTAAACAAACAGCACGCAAGGCTCCACAGTGTGGAACTCGCCAGTGTATTTATTTGCGCAGATTATGAAACATTTGCGTGACAAAAGCCGCATAAAACTGTGTAAGAAATTTACCTTTCTCAAATCGTGTGACTTCTACTGGCAGCTAGCAGGCAAAATTTCTGCTCTGATTGGTCGAGGCTTCTTTCTACCGAGCTTCGTTGAAGTAGAGTGAGTTTTAGAGGTTCTCAAACTTTTTTAATTTCGGGGGCTTTCATAAAAGTATTTTCTTGAATTTCCTCTAACTCACCTAATTTATACATATTTTTAGTGAACATAATCATTTCTGCTACTTACTGCCTTTTTGATGTAATTCGATGAAAACATAATTAAGTTTATTGAACCATATAAACACAGTTGAAAACCACTGAATGCTGACAATCAGCTGGGATTTCGCCATATTTGTTTTGATTGCGTATGCGTGTGGTCTTGCGTGTGGTCGTGTTTCGGTGGTCTTGGGCTGTGAGTGTATTCGTCGGTGCAGCGCGAATGAAGAGTGCTGTTTGGCTCTCAGTTCACTTGCTTCTCTTGTCCTGCTTGGTCGGTTGAGCCTGGCATTGCCATTTTGGAAGCCGAAACTCTTCGGTTTGTGACCTGACAAAAGTGATCAGCGACTCGAGATCCGGATTCCAATTCACATTACAGTTGGCCTTTTAGGCCACAAATTCTTAATTAATTGAAAAGCGTATTGATTTGTGCATTTGAAAATAAACTAGCTGCACAGATATGTTCTCCAATGTAACAAATCAGATGAGCAGCTGGTTGGGCGGGCTGTCAAAGAAGGTGCCCGACAATCAAGAAAATGCTGCCAATGAGCAGCATTCAGAGCACTCGGACAAGGAGAAAGAAACACAGGAGTCTAAGACGGATACCCCAACATCCCAAAAGTCTGTAAAGGGATCTCTGGATGAACAGGACGATGGATCAAGGTGAGTTATAGATGGTTTGGTTCGATATATAGACCATTTATATTTCAACTTAGATTTAATTACCTACATTGGTATGCTCAGCATTATCAAGTCATTTCATTAACCATAGCTGATTGATGTAATATGAATAAATGTTAATTTCATTTAAGCTTAAATACAAGAGGATATTTTTCCTAAAATTTTATCTTTGCCATTGCTAATTTTGTCATCTTGTAGTAACATATGCAACTGCATGCTTGCTATGTCTATTGATGCCTAGGTATCTATATTGCCATGTTTCTCAATTGTTCATATTTTTTTTTTAGGGGGATAACTGTTCACACCTATGATGCCACCACACTTGCCTGAACAAGAGCTGTCCAATGATCACACATTTTATAGTGATACTTACCTACCTACCTGTTAAAATGCTAGATTCTAAAATACTTTAAAAGCATCATTTCACAGTTGTTAAGGGGTCACAAACCACTGCTGGATATTTCATATGTGAGGGACAATAGGGCCAACAGCTGGCCCTAAGCCACAGTTTTCTTTTTTGCTTCCATATCAAAGGAGCTGTCTGAAAGTAAAGTGGTCTGAGCTGTGATCTGAGTTATTTCTTTTTGTTACCTCGCATTGATGTTTTGGCCTTCACCACATACTTGCTGATTTAATCCCATAAGGGGAATGATATCAACAATAATGGACTGATTCCCACACTGTGACAAAAAGCTCCCCTGGGTTTCTGTCAAAGGGCCTCTGAGGGCTGTTCACGGGCCCTGTGTGCGGTTGGACCGCACACAGCCTCCAAGCTCCGCCCACTGCGTCCCTACGTCAGCCTTGCGTCACCGCACACAGCGATCGCTGTGGCCGGTCGGGACTAGCCACAGCGGACCGTCCACCGCACGCAGCCGTGACGTCAGAGCCGCCTACCCATCCCCTACCCCCACGCCTGCTGGACGTACCGCACACACCGCACGCAGCAGTGTGCGGTGCCCGTGAACACCCCTCTGAGGTACCAAGGGACCATTGGGCATGCAGCAATGCCTCCTGAGCCACAAATGGCCCCTAAGCTATTGAGGGGTCCCTACAACACTTGAAATATGGCCTATGGATGAGTGGCTGATGCTGAGCCTCATGAGTCTCTGGTAAGGAAAAAAAGAATAATAGGGACCATCTGAGGTAGTGAGCTAAGTGAGTGCTAACTGTACCTGTTGCTCTCCTGAGCTACTGGTGGCCCAGCTGAGCTACTTGAGGTGTTTTCAAGACTTTGAGGTGCCCCCTAAGCTACCATCGGACTATCTTAGATATTGAAAGCCTCCTGAGCTTTCAAGGCCAGTGGCATCTGAACTATTGAGTCAAAAATCCCTTGAGCCCTTGACAGCAGACCCCTCACCCCTGAGCATGTGGCAGAGCCTTCTGAGCACTTAACAGAGACCATCTGAGCGACCGAGACGCCCTCGAGCGCGTACTGGGTCCTCTGAGCAACTGAGGGCTCTCAGCTGTCGATGGCCTTCTGAGCTACGGAGGGCTCTCTGAGGGCTCTCTACCAAGGATCCTCTGAGCTAATGAGGGCTCTGTTAGCTACCGGCGGCATTCTGAGCTCTCAGCGGTCCTTGAGCGCGTGATAGGTGTCCTCCATACGATGTGCCTCGCGATTTATCGAGTTACTCCCTTAATCTTCCGAGGGACATTCCGCTCGTGAGGGCATTAGGGGACCCTGAACTATCAAGGGGATCACTATTCACTGAACACTTAAAGGGACACTCCCACCTTAACATTAGTTTTGAGTTGAGATAGCCAAATTGGTGGCCATGGCCTGCAAATACCGGTTTGGGCACTCACAACATCGACAAATGCTTTAATTCGGAGATATGGAATTTCAAACTTGCAGTTTTCGGATTTTAAGGGGCTAGTGCATTGGTATGCCCCCTTAGAATTTGTGACGTCAGCGGAGATCTAACGATTTTTAAATCTTTTACTAAAACGTTTGGTAGCACGCGGTGGTATATGCTGCTTTGCGCGCAACAAATGCCGCACTTTCAAATAAAGTCGCTAGGAACAGCGGAGATCCCAAAAAGTAAACAAAAGTAAAAGTCTAATATCTTGAAAACCGGTGAATATTTTTCGATGAAATTTGGTAGATATTCGTTTTAGCTCTTTCTGAACCGAGCGACATCACTTTCGTGCCAATTCATCAACTTTTTTGAAGGTGGGAGGGTCCCTTTAATAGAGACCGTCTGAGTACGTGTTCGAGCCTTTTAAGAACGGAGCAGAGGCGTAGTGACGTGGCAGAGGCTCTTGAGTGCCGCACTGATGGGCCTTCTGAGTGCTCGACGGAGGCCTTCGGAATTCGCCTCCCAATGTCTAGCTCTGGGGTCTCGTCAATTGTAGGAAAGGCTCACTGTTCAGTGCGCATCAATGTGATTTTGATAGTAAACCTAGCCCTAATTGATGCTTTTTTAATTGAATGGCGGTATTTTTTTGGCCTCTCATTTGCCATCTGCCATCCTCCCTCATGCACCCTAATAAACATTGGACAAGTCCAGCGTGAGGAATGTCGTTCAGAAATCACGAACGAAATCCAAAACTGTCTACTTTCCGTCCCCATTCACTGGTAACTGGCGTTACCAGAAATATAGGCTGCGCCGCAATGTCTGTAGGTGTTGCGGGCTAGTCTACCTAACGTTAGCTGTTGGCGACTCGGTAGGTATCACCGTTCATCCTCTCCCACCGTCCACTGCGTAGTGCGAGTTGGATCCAGACCCCCGAATGAAGGGAACGATGGACATTATCTCTCACATTTTTCTGTCTTTTATATTGAGTTTCAGCGTCTAACCCGTCTAACCCAGCTGATGTCTGATAGTCGTACAGTGATGGAACTGCTAGTCAAGTGGTCTGGAACAGAACTGTTCCATGCCAAAGGTCGAGGCAGATATTCCTGCAGAGTCGAAAGCCATTTTACAAGGCTACCGAAGAGTACTGAAGAGCTTACCGTGCGCATGGCAGGATCCTCTAAGCTACTGAACGATCAATCAGTGCACAATGGAGGCCCTCTTAAAGGTAGACTGCCACCTTTTTTCACAAAACGGTTTTCACTAGAGCTGAGCCACCTATGTCCCAGACTGAAGTCGGTTTTCCGAAATTCGAACCCGTTTGCGAGAAATCGGAGACCAAAGTTCAGTTTGATGCCATTTTTTTAGTCCAAGAAAACCGACATCTCTACTGTTTATCGATAACTTTGAAACATGAATTTTCTTATCTTTTGGCAAATATATGTCAAAACTTTGATTGTTTCGAGATCAGAGAAGAATTTTGGAGTGTCAAAATAAAAGTTAAACTTATATATTCAGTAGTTCATTTTTTTCCAAAAAAGTGTGGGAAATGGGGTTTAACATGGGCCAGCAGACCCATTCCAAATGAGCCATGATTTTTAAATGTTTTACGAAGTTAAATGCAAAATAAATTAAACATGTCCAATTTCTTATGAAATCATATATTAGTAAATAATAAAATACCTTACTTTTTCAAATAAAATGTAATAATCTTATGACCTTGAAGTCTAGTGATGTGTAAACATTGTCGCTAGACATTAACCGATTGATAATTGTATGATAATCGATAATTTTTTCGCGATTCACGTGATGATACTTTGTCAGGTGAATTCTAAAATTTTGTTTTATCCAGGGAATAAATCATAGGCCGATCTGAGAAAACTTTTTGAAGGTGGCAGTCTTCCTTTAACGGGTGTGGATCATTTGACCAGCGTGTAGCGGGGTCTTCTATGAGGGTGTCTGCCGTCGTCGGGGCGCTCTTGAGCTATCGAGGCACACTGTGGTTATATTCTGCTCTTATATGACGGATGTCTGTTTCTGTCCTGTGTCTCCTTGTTGTTACCTGTGTGTCCTGGGTCTATTCGCGTTTTTGGGTTTGCGTGGCCCCCAGCTCTCGAGAACTCTTCTCTGCGACGATTCCCCTTTGCTTGATTCCTCTCGCCGTTTTTCGTTCATCACGGTCTCTGGGCTTCAGGTGATTTGTAACCCCCGACTTTGAGGAGGAATGGTTGGTTATGGGCGCCATATAGCCTCGTTGCTGGTGCGCCCTAAAACACCAAATCATTATCATCATCGCTGTTACCTGTGTTACTTTTGTGTGACCCTGTGTGCTGTGTGTGCCGCCAGCACCACCGAGGGGGCAGACAGCAACGTCAGCTCGCCGGGGGCCTCGCCGACACACGACGGAAACGCCATCGGTAAGCACTAGGGACCATATGGGTAAACATCGTCGGCACATGACGGGCTGTCGGTATGGACTAACCCGCGCCCTGGTGGGGTCTGTTTATAACGCGACCTGGTGGGGGGGGGGGGGGGCTATTTTTTGCCCCCCTCGTATCTCCGAAACTACTTGACGGATCCGCAAAATTCAAACGGCGTTCGAAAGGCCTGTCAAATTTGTCGAAGGAAACCAAATTTCATTGACCTCGGGGTCACCGATGACGTCACAGGTCAGGTCAAAGATGACATGTTTCACCGTTCACGGGTCATAGATGACCATGTTAGGGAATGAATAACACCGAAGAAAACGCATTTTGTCGAGAATCAGCGATATGGCGTCAGTTGCCTAGTACATATGTTGCTATAAGACGACGTCACTGACAATACCAGGTCATGTCACAGGTCAGGTCACCAAGGGTCACAGGTCAGGTCACATGAACCTAACTTTAGGTAGGTACTAAGGTTGTGCAATGTGCAATGTGCGATGCATGTTTTATGGCCAATTTTTCATTTCCAACTCAATGGTGTTGGTTATAAGACTATCAGGTACGGCTCAGGTCACTTTCTGGTGAAGGCCAGGTCAAGGTCAGGTCAAGAAAGGTCAAATTTTAAAGTTGACAGTTTTGCATAAAATGGGTATTGATTCGATGCAGCTCGTCACGGGGAGTCTAATGGTGGTCTTTGTTTTGCGCTACGGGGTCTAGAATTGCTAAAAATTGAGTTTGAAAATTTGACGTCATCAATTTTGAACAGTTTTTTTCGCTATAACTTCGCCAAAAAAGTGGTATCAATCTCAAATTTAATATGTGGATAGAACGCGGTAAGGACTATCACATATGTTCCGGTTTTTGCGAAATTCCAAAAACTTTCTGGATTTTTCGGCTATGATATTCAAAAAATCTATTTTTTTTATCATTGGGGGTCAAAATCCAAAAAATTCAAAAATCCGAGATAGCAGTTTTGTAGCCCTGTCAATTCTACAGCTTTTATGTCTTTATTGTTTTTCTGTATTTGCAAAGCTATAGGCCTGACAGCTCTTCCCGCGAAACCCTTTTTTTGGGTCGAAAACGGCAGAACATGACGTCACTCTGACGTCATTTCCGGCCAACCTATCATAGCCTTTGGAAAATTTTTGGTCACAATGTGTAAAATTGATGTCCGAGAGGGTACTGAAAGTTTGATGACGATCGGCGCAGCGGTTCTGGAGATATATCGAAAAGTCTGGAGGGGGCAAAAAATAGCCCCTCCCCCCCCCCCACCAGGGCGCGGGCTAAGCGGACGTTGCCGGTGACTTGGTGACCCTGAGCAATGGTGAAATTGGTGATAGTGGTGACACGAATGGTATGTCTGACACACTGGTGATCCTGGTTAATGGGAACATAGTGGACAGTGACACGGTCGATATTCTGCGCGAAATTTTGACCGCACTCAACTACACTCAGTTATAGTGTAGTTGTAGTGTAGTCGAAACTCAACTACAATATAGTTTAGTTTCTGCTTCCCTTCTTGGACTTGAAGCAGTGCACACAATGCAAAATTGCAGACATGTATGGCATTGAATTTATTTAAACCTCGAAGCATACCGACACGTCTATCGGAATCTCGATTAATAGTGATAACCGCTCTAGGGTAATTGCTAGAGGATAGCATGCATTTAGGCTCGGCAGTTTCCGTAATATATGAAATTGAATGCGATTGACAGGCAATTACGCGAGCTCTTCTCGACTTTATGTGGCAAATGACCGTAATTCGGGCAGTTCCGTGATAAATTGCCGTTTACAATTACATCTGAAGCGAAAACTTGCGTATTAATCAGCGAATATCAGTTTCACCATTTGGTCGCTTATTTGAAGGGCTGAAGCCGCGGTTTGAAGGGTGATGTGTGTAGCTCCCGTATTTGATGTCAAAATTTGAAACTTCTTTTCCACTATCCATTCCATTTTCAATTAATACTTTCAGAGTATTAAAGGGTAACCTTCACATCAAAATTAAATCTTCGAACACCGCCACGTTTGAGGGTTTGATTCGCTGACCTTTATGTATGCATGATAACTATGAGAAGGCATGGTATGGTTGTGATTCAAGCGTACAGCCCTCTGCTCACTGCGTGGTAGGTTATACTTGCTTCAGCGAAACCGGCCAATATCTAAAAGGCTCTGCTACCGAGTGCGCGGAAGTCCTAACGGAGGGACGCGCAATATCACACGACTTTGTTTAAACCCCTTGTTGACTAGACCCACCTCTCCGTGTGGCTACAATACACAGAAGTCTGTATTTTCCGTCCTGAGACTAAGTTTTTTTTGCCCCCCTCCTAGAACCGTCCCTGCCATGCCTTCAATGAGCTCAGCTGACAGCCGCTTACTACGGAATGGTAGTGCGAGTTGGGTGCGTAAACAGGCATGAGTCGGTGACCAGCGCAGAGGCTAAACCGGTCGGCGGGCCAGTCGGCCGGTTCCGTGGGGCAGGGAGGTGGACGCGGGCCGGGGTCACTCGGGTCAATAGCCCGAAGCTATGTCTCGGCCAGAAGCCGATCCAGACAGTCTGGCGCGACCCGACCAGGCCGTTCTAAAGCACAGGGACTAGGAATGAATTAGCCATTTTCAGGATTGTTAAAGGTTGGTGTCAAGGTCACGTGAAAATCAGGTTAGGTCATTGAACTTCGGTGACCTTGATTCACTTTTCGAGTTTTACACGTGTCTAGGACAGTTTTTGGAGCTCATTTAGAATTTAGCATCCATTTGAACATTTAAAGGTAGTGTGCCACCTTTGAAAGATTTCCCATTTTATTTTTCCTAGGATAAGAAGCTTCTGTTTTTACCTAATATCGCAAAAAAAATCAAAAATGGGCCTGGAATAGTGCCTTTTTCGCCTAAAAGTTTATCGGTTTTTAGATATGTATAACAACTGTAGTGGGCTCACCTGCAAACAGGCGTCGGGCAACAATCGCGAATGCGGCGCACTTGTGACAATAAGCAAAGGTCATTATAGTGTTACGACCATACGACGTACGGGAATGAGTTATCAGCTGTCTAATCGTAGGCAACACAATGTCGAACCTTAAACTGTAAGCCCGTATTGGTATTGTTTCTTTTATTTGGCTGTCGAACATTATTTATGGTTTGAAATATGATTTTATGTAAAATAATTGATATGAAAAAGCCGTCTTATAAGTTATGACCCCATTTCACCACACGCAAGTGGCAGAAATGACAATGATCAGCTGACGCATTTTTCTTGGCCGAAGTCAGAGCGCGCGGCCCGACGCACCACGCGTATTTGGAAATTCCGACCTCGACGAGCATCAGAAGCCACCTAACAGGCGTGTTCGAAACCGCAGGAGATGATGATGAACGGGTTTATCGAAACTTGATTGGATGAGCATATCGGTAGTAGCGATTTCAGTGTGTGCATTTATTGTTCATAGTGGTGTGAAATGTGGTTGGGGTACGACCGACAACCCGTCGGGGCGAATTTCGCACTGGGGTACTCAAAATTTGAAGAATTTAAGACGTTTCCATGAGTTTTGAAGGTATGGATAAGTTCTAAAAATCCGGTTCTCCTTATCTGGGCCATTAACTCCATACGGTCCAAGAAAGCTGGCACACTACCTTTAAGAAGCAGTTTTGGTGCCTTTGTAACATGTTGCGGAGCTGTGAGTGGCAGTTGACACCAACTATAGATACCCGGCAAAAACCTACTGGTTGACCTGACCTGACCTGACCCTACCTGGCCTAAATGCGTGAAGACATCATGTTTGATCAAACCTTAAATGATATTTGTGATTAGCACCCCGAAAAAAACCTAGCAGCCACGCTTAACGACGTTCTAACAGTTTCCATTGTTCCGATTTTTGGGTCATTGACCTGACCTGGAAGGTCAACTTATGATCTAGGACCTTAAAAATAGACATTTTTTGTTTCCTCTCGTCACCAACAACACGCTCGTTTTGTCCGCGAAGCTCTAAGTCCATTAGAGGCCAAACGGCAAGGGGTATCCAACGAACCCCCCCCCCCCCCCTATACGTTCGTGGCTGGCTAAACAACAATACGGGCGAGGGTTAACTAAGTCTATGGGCCACGTAGCAACACACGGTAAGCGACATTTGAAACAACGTTCAAAATCAAGACGAAAATAATTCGATCAGTTTATAGGTCAGGTTAACGGTTAGGTCACCAGATGTCAACAAAGGTGAAGTGGTGCTTCTGAAACACCGGCGCATAACTCAAATGAACCAATATTGATGCAGTGCCGTAGAAAAGCGCGTTCGATAGACCTTTAAACACTTTTGACTCAAGCAAGGAACGAACAAGTTCAAGGTCATGCCCTGTCCGGAAGAGGTCATGTTGCGCATCAGTCAATGCGCATCGTCGACCTAAGCACATCGAAGATGTTTTCATCGCTCTAATCAAAGGCAAAAACCGCCGGGGACCTTTCATGACCTGCGATGACCTCGGGGACATAAGTAAGGTTCCCATGTGCTATTGTCTTATTCAGTGTGTCAAGTTTACTGGTGTCATTATATTTGAGAGTGTTTAGAACACCGTTTGTCTTGTAATACGTATTTCAATTTTCTCCAACTGACCAAAAATAGCGAGGTCGCAGATTGTCCTGAACTTAGCTCAGCGATATCAAAATTACGAAATTAACATTTAATGCACATCGCTCTTATCAATCGCTCAAAGTTTCAAGGCGATCGTTCAGTCAATGTGGCTATGACCAGGGTTGTGCTTGACTCATGAGTCGAGTCAGAAATTTGACTCAACTCTGACTCAAATGAGTCAGGTTTGAGTCGAGTCGGATAAAATGTTGAGCTGTTGAGTTGAGTCAGAGTTGAGTCGGACAAAAATATTAAGAGGTGTGCCGAAAACGGTTTTGCTCTGCGCTGCCGTTTTTTTTTTTACTTAATATCTGCGAAAAACGCAGGATACGTCCAACCCCCCAACCCCCTCTCCCCAGCGCTGGTAAGATATCTTATAAT